TTAGATTTTAAATGATAATTATCTTAATTATTGGTACTATTAATAACTTACATATTTATATTTAAAGAGCGTTTTTAACGATTTGGAGCATTATAGAAAACTTGCTCTAGCATTGTAGAAATAATATACAAGCGAGAATGAAAAAATAACTGACAATGGCGTTGTTAACAAACATTAATACCTGAGAATATAAAGATTAGAATAACACACTTGAAAAATATTACGCGAATTTTATCAACACCCAGATCTAGTTGGCCTCGTTTTAGATGTCAACAAACTTATGACTAGATATGATTGTGTTAAACCGTGTAAATATAGTTTTATTGGCGTGTTAGTATTAGTTTACTCTTTAAAAAAGACAAATATATGGAAAACTTTAAGACTCGCGCTGTTGCTTAAATAAGTTAATGTTATAATTGAATTGGTACATTTTTAAGTATTGGTACTGTTCTTAACTGAAAAGGGACAGACTGAAAATCAGTGCTCAGCAAACCTTAAATTGTACTCTAATTTCATTCTTTTCATTGTAAGTTTTTTTTAATATTATAAGTTATGTACGTTGTGTTAATAGCCTCTTAAATAAAACCGTATATGGATAGATATAAAAAATACTCGCCTTGTTCACAGTAACTACTAACGCTATTTGTTTGGTACTCACCTCAAACATAATCATATCAAAATCGGTCAATCCACTTAAAATGTCTATCTTACAAACGTGCATACATACACTATCGCATTTAAAACATCATGAAGCTAAGATATTTGAAACAAAACACGATTTCTGTACAGACATTTTCCACTGGTGACTAGTAATAAAATAAATATAATTACTACGGCATAGCAATAAATATTGAAGTGGCAGTTTCCCACGTGATATATCTTTGGAGTGGCGGTCAGACAATGGCGTGTTTGTGTCCGAAGCACTAAGCTCGAGTACTTGAAAATAACTGTACAAACTTGAGTAAGTCAATAAGTCTTTAATACTGGTTTACGTAGAACGCTTGTCGCTCAAGTCGAGTCAAACGCTATACCCAAATTAAATTTATATTAAATAACTATTATACGCGGACGACGTCGCTAACACAACTAGTATCTTTTATAATTAAGTCGGAATTATCGACCATACCGTACACATCTCTCAGAAAATCATAATAACATAACGGCACAACTGAAAGTTAGGAGTACTTTACGTCATTCGAAGTCAGTAAAAGCAATAACGCTATGGTCTATAAAGTTTGTTCATAAATAAGGACGAATTATCCAGCGGTATTCCAATAAAGCGAATGTGCCGTTCGCATAAATCTCTATGCGATGCCCATTACCATGGACGCGAGATATATAAAATAAAATTCGTACGAAAACAAAGTGGCGTTGAGAGATTTATACAAGTATCAAAATAGCACTGCTTAACACCTTAGGCTTTCGCACTGTACTTAATAATTTATTTGATTAAATTGATTAACAACTAGAAAGACCGCCTCAATAGCTAAATGGTTAAACATGTTGCCTAGCATGGCGTAAAGCGCCAGAGGTCCTGGGTTTAAATCCCGAGGAAACAGTAAGTCGGTCGGGCACAAAAGTCTGATCAACTACTTGTCTGTAAATAAAACCGATCTGTGAAACGGGCACTGAAATGTGTTCGCCCTATGCCCCACGAGGGGAAACGGGATTTCACATTTTTTTAACAATTAGAATATTGTAATTTACAACCAAAATATACGGAACGCAACCATGTATCGCTTGAGTATTGTTTGTAGCTTACGCAAAAAGTACTCAATTAAATAAAACGGTTTAAACGTGAAATATATTAGTAGTATATTTTTCGTCCGGCCATAATTAAAAAACAAATAACTAATACATATATATAATCGCGATTTAAAACGTTAAAAGTAGGTATTTTATTTAAATGTGTAGCTACTATTTGCGTAAGCTACAAACCATATCTACTCACATTTGTTAATATTTATTATTTAATTTTATTTAATGTATTATTATTTAAATGTTATCTATTGATATTGCATTGAAAAAAATCGCATTTTACTTTGTCACATTGATATGTGTAAATACGCTGATGCGTGAAACATAGAGCACTTTGTACAGGAAGTAAGAGAAACTACTTGTCGCAAAGAACTACTAAAATAAATCAGATAAGCTGTGTCATTGTGTCTATAGTCTTTAAAAAACGCAACCTGATTAAATTATCAAGGTGCGTTTAATTGCGCGTAACATATGTCACAGGTTGATAGGATTGGATGTCGTGTCATGATGTTATAGCAAATGATAAATAAACGCCCTTTTTACATAAAAATTTGGTATATACCGCATACTGATGATAAATAACAAAATAAAGAGTTTAAGTATTCCTTATTAATTATTTTGAATGTCATTAATTAAGAAGAAGAGAAAGCTAACGGTATACAAAATTGCACAGTGAGTAAATCTCGGATTGTTTTACGCTGATGTCACAAACTTCTCGAAAGCCTATTCTTAGCATAGATCGACTTGTGAGTAGTCGGAAAGCCGATACTTGGAACCGAGTAATTTAATTACCATATTCCAACATTTTGACAGTTACGAGAAATATTGTTTATTAATAATCGAAACTAAATTGACAGGAAAACGCAAAAATGATTTATAATTAATATAACAAAGGTCGTTGTTTAAAAATCTGTCAGTCGTATTAACTGGCTTATAAAATACTTAAATTGGACTTGCGATAGTAGCTTAAATAGTAAACTGATCTGAACTGATGATGATGCTGATTAACAATTTTGTTAACAAGAATTCGAACCTAGTACTTTTCGTGATTTTCGTCAATATTTCTTATACTTCAATTTACACGCGTAATACTTCGACATACGAAGAGATAATAATGCTTATTACTTACACGCGATACGTCAAACAAAAAATGTTATTCCGTTTTAATTACTTCTGTGTACAATTATCGATAGTTTAATTGAAGTTGGCGGCGCCAATATTATATTTCTTAGCTAATGAATGTCTTCGAGTCATGTAACAACTACCAAGAAATATTAACCAGAATAAATTGCAACTACTGTCATAATATTGCATATAATAGATAGATAGGCTAGATGTTAAATAAATTTGGCTGGATAAAATCGAAGTTCGTTTCCTTTTCTGTGGATTTTTTATCCTACAATTGTCAGACGATTCGTGAAGTTTCCTTGTCGAAGAACTCCTGAGATCGATGTTATTAGAATTTAATGTATCTGGGTATTCCCCAGATACGTTTGATTCGAATAATAACCCTTTTAACAGTTAGGAAAAAGTTAAGTGTATCTTATGACTTAAACAAGTTTTGCGAATAGAATCTGTGCGTGCAATTACAACGAATAAAATTCCAGTATTTACAGAAATAGATCATCCCGAAGTACAGTGGTTAAACTATTGCATTTTTTAACGATAGAGTTCTCTAGCAAGCATCACGCGTGGGGTTCACAATATTGATAGGTGCTATACCCTAGCCATATAACATCTAGAATAATTGGGCCGATATTCGAAAAATCCACTTAAGCCGAAACGCGGTTTGTGACTCGGACGGAGTTTCGATATTCCTACCAATAATATAACAAGTATATTTTAAAAATAACTAAACGCTTTTGTAAGAAGCGATAAGAATGTTGGTTAATAGACGATCACCTTGGACGTTCTGAGAAAATATACTGTAACTGTGACATCATACTGCATAGAATACCAGAAACATCGATACATAACATTACTTCTATTTAAATAGATGTTTTATTGTTTGAAGTTACATTTCTATAATAAAGTTCTGGAGAACAAAAGTTGCATTTCATAGTTGCTACCGACACGAAATAGTGCCTTAACTAGTGAGAGACGATATTAAAACAAAACATATTAAACTCATTAAAATTGATTTACCTATTATACGTAATTTCAGAATATCACGTTTGTTTTATTTTTCTTTGATTTTAGGTAAAATTAAACAAACGACTTTAAAAAAAGAACGGCCTCTATTCGATTCGTATGTACGTATTTTAATGCTTGTTCGCATATATGACTTTGTCGTTTGATTATTCTTTTGTTGAAAAGTACATTTTCAGATATTTGAAAATGTACTTTTCAACTTTGTTTTAAATCCAGTTTCAGGAAAGATAAAATCCATTTTAAAGAAAAAGACCACAAGTTATCACAGACCAGAGTAATCGAAGATAACTATTAAAAATAAGATGGGAAATTTGTTGAGTTATTTTTTTTTCTTTCCTTACAACGTACCACAATTTAATAAAAGGACCTAGAAACCAAGTCGCAGGAATTACACAACGATTCACAGCACCTTGTGTAAGGACTTCAAAAAATTATATTAGGTACTTGTAAAAATATTAATAAATCATAATACGCGAAGTCTTTGTTATATTAGTATTTTCTCATTTAGTTTACTATTTGAAGTCGTTTTTTTTTGTAAAAATGTAGTAATTTATTTTATCTGTATTAACTTAACAATATACATAATTAAGTTATTTTAAAACAATATAAATATAAAGTATTTGCAACATACCTGCAACTGGAGACAACTTTCTCATCACACACCATCTTGATTTCCACTGTAACAGAAAGAAAACATTCATAAATCAAATCAAAAATGATGATAAATAACTACATTTGATTTTTAGTGTCATCAAAGATTTTTCAATTTCAAAACATTTTACTGCATAACAATGAAGTCTATTCAAATTACATATTACAACGACATCTAGTACAATTTTATAATAACCAAATTTAAAGTTGCAAAAAAAATTATCAAAATATAATTAAATATGTATCTTACAAATGATAGTTATCCATAATGATTATAATAAGAACACAGACTATAATATCGAGCGATTAGGTCAATTACACGCATACAGATAACCGGGCAACATGACGCAACATTGCAGCGCGATCGTTGCGTCGTCCGCCATTTTGTGTTAGTTAAGAATCGCTCTCCGCGGCAACCGCACGACTTATTGCGCCACATTATGTATGAGATTTACACGGAAAAGTTGATAGCAGCTGTCAAATCGAAGCCTAGTTTGTATAAAAAGAGTGACCCTATGTACTACAGTCATAGAAAACATAAAGACAAATTGTGGCGCGATGTTTGCATTGAGGTCTTGACCCAATCCGGTCGAAGTTGGGACAATCTAAAGGCGGTCGAAAAAGTTGAATGCGGTAAGACAACTAGTTGCGCGTTATGGCGTTGCGTTTTATTATTTGTATTCGTTGGTTAACAGGCTGTTTATGTATCAAAATGTACATATAAAAAAAACTAATGAAGCACAATTCTTTATCGTTGCTTTGAAGAACTGTATCGAGAAATACCAGTGCCCTGCGGGTGTAGGCTATTGTGTTTCTCATTTTATTGCTTAAATTCGTTCGACTTATAGTTAGTTCGTTAGTTTTAGATTTAATTTCAAGTCAAATATTTCCTAAGCTATCGAAAAAAGACTTTCAAAAGAATAAATTTAATGTTCTTGTGTCTATAGTCATAGAATAAGTTACTGAATTGTGTCAGTAAAGAGAGCTGTATCTATCATAGAGAATTGCCCAGAGTTCGTTGCCCGCGTATACTTAACGCGATACACTTTGTATTCTGTGGTTTCTTAGAATGTACTGTAGGCAATAAATCTGTTTGCGTAAAGTTCTCGCATTGCGTTTATTGTTTCGGTCCATTTGGTAAAGAGAAAAAAGTGACGGTGGTTTCTTGTTTTTGTCGGTAAAAAACTAAACTCTTTATTGGGATTTAGGGTTTAGCGCTGAAGTTCAATTTGCTGGTACATTCAAAGGTGTCGGTTAACTCTCTAAATTGAAATCCACCCACAATAATTAGCAATGTTTATAGCTTCGATAGTTATTGATTTTAGTTTTTTTTTCGGTCAATATATTGGGTGGTATGTAGAATAAACCAAATAGATATAAAATTCGATACGATTTTGAGGATTAAATCTTATAAATAATTGTAATTGAGTAAATGAAATCTAAATAATCTCTAAGCTATAGTTTCAATTCAACTCACATAACTTAGTTATATGGCGACCGACAGTCAATAAAAAACCACTAAAATGAAAAGTTCAAAGAAACATTATTGTCAGTAGATGTAAACGCAATAAATGAACAGTTTTTTAGGCTTATCGTAAGCGCGGTGTCAAATTGATTCTAATCTGAATTTTTACGACGGAAACTGGCTATAAACTTGTCTAATATTTCCCTTTACTGACCCTTGTAATCTTCATTTGATGCGCACAAGACGTAAAACGTATTTACTTTACTGTTTAAAAAAGGAAGAAGAAAATATTCTATTAGACGATAAATAATATTGTTTACTAAAATCTGCTTTTATTATTGCTAATAATAATAATACTCTTTACTTTTTTTATTTAATTCTTAGATAAAGAAATGTAAATATGAACATATTCTTTTATGTCACATTTTTTTATACAGAGAATAAAACGAAAAATAAGTAGTTATACATTTAATACCAATAGTTAGATCTAAATAAAACACTTTAACGGTTTGAAACGCGATATATTAGTTAAACTTATTTGAAAATGATTTTTAACTTCGGTCCGAGGTTTCGGATGCTTTGCCTGCAAATCATTTTCAAATAGTTTTAATTATTATATCGCGTTTTAAACCGTTAAATTGTTTTATGTAAATGTGTACTATTCGCGTAAACTATAGACAGTATTTAATAGTGAGATCCTCAATTTCTACATGTCATTTAAGTTATTAGATATAGATAATAACGGTAAAAATAAATGTACTCAAAATGATTCACTACAATTAAGAATTTATTTATTTAATTTTGTGCTATATATACCTTACCAACCAATTTAAAACTTATGCCTTGACCTACGCGAGTTTTAAAATCAGTAGTCAATTTTAGTTCACAGTACAACTATACGAAACTTTTACACTTGTAACTCCGACCATCGTCTGCAAACTTCCGATACTAAAGTTTATCTCTTTTCAGTTCGCGACATGCAGAAACGATGGAAAAACCTCCGCACTTGCTTCACGAGAGAGGTCTCGCTACAACGGAAAGAGAGGTTTAAAATGGAGAATGCAATACCGTTTAGAAAAAGAAAGACATACAATCATTTTGAGGAACTGAGCTTTCTTCTAGACGATAATCCTGAACAGATAACCGATTTGAAAGGTAGTGATGACGACAATGATCCCCTTGATCCGCATTATGAAGCAGAAGACATCGAACTTAGCTTCCAGGATAGTAACAGCGAACACGTTAACATAGGAAACATAGTTCCAGATTATGAACTACAAGGCTATAATAAAAGTGAAGAAATAGAAAGCAAAATGATCAAAGTCATTAAGGATATGAAGAAGGATGAAGATGATGATGATAGACAATTTGTTATGTCCCTTTTACCATTATTCAGAAAACTGTCCGATAGACGAAAACTGGAAGCTCGGATAGAGGTTTTGAAGGTTCTACAGAAGGTTAGCTTTGATGATGAAGATTGCAAGACTTAGATTATCTTTGTGAAACAGATTATTATGAATCAAATAAGTCGTTGCGTATGCGCATGATATATTGAAAAGGTTTTGAACAAGAAAACTTATAAACTGTGAAACAAAAATTTAAAGAGTGCCTTGTCCATGATACTTGTTATTGAAACATAAAACTGATAAGTAAGGAGTATACGATCAAATAAGATGTATGTAAGATAATGTCTAGATAACTATTGATTTGTATCGTGTAGAAGATAGGAGATTTTCCGTTCTGTACTAAATGTTGTAATTTTTTTAACATTTATTATGGATGTCTCTTTATGTGAAGAGAAATGAACGATTAAACATCGACTGAAATACTAATTATACTAATTAATATACGTTTTTAAATAAAACTTATGTTTGACCTCAATGCAATGTTTAGCCTTGTCAACTTGGACTTTGATAAGTACCAAAAGAAGAATACCACGACTTAGTAATCATAAACAGTTTTCACTTGAAAGTACAACAAATATCAGAACGTTGTTTTTGGCTTCCAGCTGGAAGATTACTTATTCAACTCTTAACTATACAAACTCCATTGTACAAGTAGATAGTTTAGCTGGTCATCGAACCCCGATCCTGATAAATACTAGGACTACTAGGCTCTCATGGCTTAATTCTAGATAATTAATACGTATCATTGCGTTTAATCTGTTAATCCGGTGCAGCAAAACAGCCGCGTCATAGTTTTAATTAAGAGCCGCAGCTCTGCGGACATTTAGTAAATTGAGCAGCAGTGAGTTGGGCATTATGTGATATGAAGCCTCCTCTTCCGCCTGTACCGATATTCGTACAGCTAAGACATATATAGCGTTTCTCTTAGTAAAGAGGACAAGTAGTGGTTCAATTTCCTGAAATAAATCCAATTTTATATGCGCAAAACACTATAATTTAAAACCTTGCTATAGGAGTGTGTAAATTTCACTAGCCCGTAATTAAAATAAAACATTTTAACGGTTTAAAACGCGATGTAGATTTGCTAATCTTATTCGGAAGTTATTTTAACTACGACCCGCCATAAATCGCGTTTTAAACCGGTTAAGTGTTTTATTCAAATGTTTAATCCCATAAAACAGATCAGGTACAATAATGACTCGGTGTGTGGTTTGGTACCTACACAAATTTAACAAATATAAAACTGTAAAATTATAAGTTCGTCCTATAATATATATTCTCGTGGAATAAATGTATTGAATGATAACGTTAATTAACCTTCTTATGCCACGGTTGAACTCGGTTAAATAGAACCTCGACTTGCATAGTTATTATAGAAGCAACGATGCATTTATTGTATTGATTGTTACGACCTTGGCATAAATGTTATGTACACTATTCATAGCCCGCGTTTTATAGGCATGGCTTCACAGTTTACAGTTAACATAGTACCAAAACCGGATAGAAATATCATTCACCTAATCCACTAAATACAGTAATTGAGAAAAATATAGTTTTGCAAATTCGATAGCGTAGGCGGGACTTGTACCAACGACTGTAGGTATCCCATAATCTTGGTACAGCAACGGCACAGTGCTTTGCGGTGTTGGCAACCATACCAACGGTTGTGAGCCAGGCCCGTCTTTCACCAAATTTCTAATTACTTAATCATTATACTAGCTGTCATCTTGTTGCCAGTGTGTTAGAGATAATTAAAACAGCCTAGTAACTCGTGGATACGTTGGAAACAGTTTAGCCGTGTTCAATAATCCAATTACTCAATTCTCAATAAACATTAACTGTTTATCACAACTTACATTGAATACTTTCTTTTACATGTGTAGCCCCTATCAGCATGGTTGCTGTTGCGTGGTCGCTGAGACCAGCGCGTTCAACTAAAATTTTACTAGCTAGTATACTAAAAGGTTTATGTATAGATTAGGAAGTTCACACACAAACAGTAGCGATTACACGAAAGTATTTAATCAAGCGGAAGCATCATGAATCACAATAGAGCGATACGATCAAAATGTGACTAACTCGATGCTACACTATTGTTTCATCGTGATATACATTATTATTAGTCGATGGACTTTGATGTGGCGCTTCTGCCCGTTCAAGTACGAATGCTTGCTCACAACTCTAACGTACTTTTCACCGGATTGAGTTGATAGATAGTTGTCTCTTTTCCACATTGTCTTGCAAAGACCAAGGATTTAAATAAAACACTTTAACGGTTTAAAACGCGATATATTAGTTAAACTGATTTGAAAATGGTTTTTAACTTCGGCCCGACGTTTCGGATGCTTTGCAGCAGCCGTGGTCACGGGTGTCTCCCCGTGACAACGGCTGAAGTTAAAAATCATTTTCAAATCAGTTTAACTAATATATCGCGTTTTAAACCGTTAAAGTGTTTTTTTTAAATGTGTACTACTCGCGTAAACTATAGACAGTATTTAAGACCAAGGATGCTAAGTGGTGTTTACTTTGTCCCCGTATTAACTCGTTTCAATATTTATTTATTAAACAAAAGTGTATGGAGCTCTAACAGGGATGCCCCCAATGCAGCTTGTCTGCAACGTGTCTTGCTAACTCACTCAGCGGACTGTGCATAACATCGCGGGCTCGATGCAGGCGACTAACTGCAAGCATTGCACGAGTTAGCGGTGCCTCGGCAAGTAAGTTAGTCCTTGTGGCTGGGACGCGAAGCAGCGGAGGCGATGGCGCTTCCAAACGTAATTATCTGGGACGTATAGTGCCAGATTACCTATGATGACTGAATTACTCTCCAATCCTCTTAATAGTTTTATCATGTACATGGCGAGGTACATCTTTTTATTTTATATTCGTTCCAGCATAGTAATATATTTTGCTTCGTGTGGAGACCACACAGACACGTTATATTCGAGATGGCGGCAAACCAGTATACATATATACAATATAAATGTGTAGTGTACGTCTTATAGCTTTTAATCCCGTGGAAATCCCTTCTAAGTAGTTTCAGTTTTTAGAGAAAGACAAATTTTCCAACTTTCTTCAAAATACGACGAAGTTGAGGACTAATTAGCCTCAGCTTTTGGAATATTTTACAGTGGTATATTTTATACTAGCCGTGCCTGTGACTTCTTTCGCGTATAATAGTTATTATGGCCATCACTATTTTGTACAACCTCCTCATCTTTAAAAATTATAACTACCAGTAAAATATTTTTGATCAGCACTTGGAGAGAATTCGATTTTGTAACGTTGTAGAACAAGACATTCTATTGATAATGACGTAGACTAAAATCTTAACAAAGCCTGAAGGTACTGTTATTTTAATGGACTAAGCGTGTTGCAACCACGTCCAATTTAATAAATAGCAGAAGAATACATCTCGACACTTCATTTAGCGACGTAATTTAGTTTCTGGATACAAGCCAGCGCATCCCGTATCTGCGGGGCTCTCATCTTGCAATTTGGCTACGACATTTTTTCTAGCTGTTCTTATCACAGCGATCCTGGTATTACATTTATGTGAAGCGTGATTGAAACTAGCCAATTTCCCGGAAAAACCACAAAGGGTAATATTAAAAACTCATAGAAGTATATATGTAATATAAACTTAAAAGATGGTATTGTGCTGAGGATAGATATTTTTTTTACTTTATTGTCATACTACTCGTATTAGATATGAAGTGCTTTATATTACTTTAATAAATAGGTACTTAGTGTGCATAATAATCTTTTCTAATACATTTTAAAAATTATTTTTAACTCAAATATTCTCAGTGAAAGCTGTAAAAGTCTCTGAGTACACCTACATACATTTCTATCAGACATTTTTTTCTAGATAATAAGAATATTAGTTTTAACTTATCATAAGAGATAGGACTGTTTAGCTTCTTAAGTAAATAAATAAACAAAATTTCAGCAGACAATTCTGATGCTTTATTTTTTAGTTAAAAAAATAATGGGTGCAGTTGTAGTTACCAAGTCTGAAGTTAAAAAGTCCTACAGTTTTCGAATAATTGATAGGACTACTAGATTACAGGCAATCATATCTAATGCCTATGATAAGACCGATATGCAAGACTCATCGTATTTCAATGCATGAAATCAATACTTATCAACAACAGAATAAGACTTGTTTTTGTTGTCTCCTTATCATAGTAAAAACGTACATAATTATCGTCCTTATTCCTAACACGGTAAGTGTCATTTCTTTTTATCTAGGTGCAGATAGTTTTACGATCGTACGTAACTTCTAGTAATTTGTGCTATCTATTCCTAGTACCTTTCACGTATAGTTTATGCAAAATACTTCATACATACAATATTATTATCAAACTGGGCATTTCATAAGCACGAATGATTGGATGTATGGATAATAATCGTGGGTTCGATCTCCAACAGGTATACCATTTAACTCGTGAATTTATGATTTATAAGAAATATGTTGGACCTCGCCTGGAAAACTGGATAAAAAATTCCGTCCATTTTACGAACCACCGATAACAGTAGAAAAGGCCTAAAAGTTTAATCACGTGTCTGTTTTAGTCTGTGGATCTCTGAATATCTAAAGACAAGTATAACATCTCACAAGACAGCACAGCTTATGGATGTTACATGAATGGTGTATTTCACCTTCAACCAAGTAGACTATCATAAAATAGTAAAGTGTAGCCATCAAATTTCATACCACTATTGCGTATATCGTTTTGTAAAATCTCTTTATTTTTATTTATGGTCAAAACATATTTATTGATTTCGACAAGAGTTTATAGTTAATAAGTTTTTACACCAAATTTTTTAATACTTTGTATGTAAAGGTAGAACCATTAATAATTTACCTTTTTCCCATCTCGGAACTTTACAGTACCCTCGATAATGGAAGTGGCGGGACTAGAGTCCGCCATCTTGGAGCATCAATGTCACGAGCCGCGATGACAGCGCCGTAGCGACGCCATAACGAACTAAACCATAATAATTTCACTTCACACTGTTACAAATCACTGTTATCACTGTGATTTTATCACTGCTACTTCACTGATCTTCTTGGATACCTGTAATAAGAAAAAAAAAGTTGTTTAATGAATAGACAATACTTGTTATCAATGGTAGCTAATCTTATCAATCCCAATAATGATTAAGAGTAAATAACACAGCGTTTTTTATTAGTAGGTGTAATTTTAATACTTTAATGTAAATGCTACATATGTGCTATGCTATATGAGCCTATAGACATCTAATTTTATAATTTGTTTGAGACTAAAACAATAATAACGAACTTAAACAATAACCCTTGCCACTTAAAAATACTACTATCACAAAAAGTCAAGAACAGTTAAAATTATACGCGCTAAAATAATTGAGAAACGTACAAAGGTTTCAATAATTAATTTGTAATACAAAGCGAATAAAGGGCGGTCCTGTTTGTTTGCACCAGGGGTTTGGGGCGAAATTAAAAAAGTTTTCAATCAATATTTTATTAAGCATCTGTTACTAGTAACTGTAAAATCTTGTGGTTTAATATTTGTCGCGCTCTTGACTTTTTAGACATTTCTTTTTGCGAATATTTTTTTTTCGTTAACACCTTCTCGAACACAGATCTCGAGCACCCTGATGTTATTTTTACTAGGAGCACTTATATTTACTATGTGATTTTTCATATTATATTATGTCATGGTTTTTTTAACTTCTTCTTCTAACGTTGGTACCAAACGTGTGACGATGGTATTACAGTTACTGAGCTGAGACTTACTTAATTATTAGGTACTTTATAAAAAAAAAAAAGTATGTACGTCACTTTAAAACTTTCTTAACTAGTTAACATTACAATTTAAGAACTCCCAACTGAAGATTAAGTTGTTAACAAAAACTTTTCTGCTAACTGTACTTGTAAGTATTTGTGGGGAACCGTCAAAACCCCTTTTTCTTTTTATCGTCTGGACTAGACATTGACTAACTACCAATGTATCGGGCGCGTAGAACCGCAAAAATAGAGCTATGATTTCGCTGACGTTACACTGCAAGACATTTTTATAAATGGATTGTTAGATGTGTCTAAGATAGCCTTTTCTTACCTCTCTCTTAGTTAATGAAGAAACACAAGTTAAATACAATTTAAGTAAGGTAAGAGAAACTATGATTAATTATTTTTTTAAAGTCTGTGATAATTACAAATAAACTAGCTGTGTCAGCGACTTCGTCCGCGTAGTATATTTAGACTTTTACAAACTTCCTCCGCATCTTTATAAATTATGGCTGTTACCAACGACGTTATCCGCGTCCCGTCGTTCTTGCAAGTTAATTTAAAAAGGTAGGCATACAGTCGTGGACATTTTTTCAGATCATTTAAAGAGGAATCATTCTTTGGTAGATATTTTTTGGATATCTTGAACCGTCTTCGTTTCGCAACGAAAATACACAAGGATGAATAACTTTCCTTGTTTTTTTTTACATTTCCCGCTGTTTATCCCGCCTATACGTCGTATCGTGATGTTTTATAGCCTTCCTCGATAATTGCTCTAACCAACAACAAACTAACTCTTCAGCTTTATATATTAATAAAAAAAATACCAATCTGTTTAGCACTTACAGCTAGATCAAAGTATTATTTAAATGACCATATTGTTTGGATTAGTCAACGTTACCCAGTATGACCGCTTACGCAAATACTATTTGAAATCCTCTTAAATCTATAGTAATATTTATTAGTCGCCGGGGGGTCGTTTCGGCCCTTTGCGTCATAACATATGACCACATGGGGCTTCTATGGGGTCGGGTAAAAATTTTATAGCTCTCGATTGCTCATTTTAATAGTTTTTACGTAAACACGATAAAGCTATAGCTTATAGCTGAACGCACTGCAAGAATAAAGCCTACAGTTATTTTACTGCGCAGTTTAATTGTAAAAATAATGTATATATCTATAATGTTCACAATATATGTATAAGTTAGCTATTAAAACTCTTAGCAGCGTTTAAATAAAACACTTTAACGGTTTAAAACGCTATATTTTTTTTTTAACTACGGCCCGACGTTTCGGATGCTTTGCAGCAGCCGTGATCACGGGGAGACCCTCTCCGTGACCATGGCTTCATCCAAACAAGTTTAACTAAAATATATTGCGTTTTAAACAGTTAAAGTGTTTTTTTTAATGTGTACTACTCGCGTAAATTACAGACAGTGTTCACTTAGGAACATCTTGTATATATTTCGTTGTATTTGTGAAGAGTAGGGTTAGATCATCAAAATTTTGTAAATTATACATTAATAAACTTTATCGATGTGAATATTTTTAAGCGACTTATTTTTGTAATTTCTAAATTTTTTTATTGAAGCACAAGTCAAGATTACAAAATAGTACACATAAAGGTAGATAAACATTGTTAGCACATAACGAATATTTTTGAAATTTCCTTTAACATGTAAATATTTGAACAGATGCCACTAAAACAATGATAAATAACGAGTGACGTCATAATCCTTTGTTTTAAACATGTGATATCTCATACGTTTATCGACTGAAACTCCATGACATTGTTTTTAAATGAAACAATATAATCCAACCTATTTCAGTTTACCAAAAATTTTGTGTGATCAGATTTAAGTGAAGTTTAGCTATTGTGTGGGGCTAAAAATTGGATTATATTGTGTACTGTTGATTTATAACTATTATACGAGGCTGATGCGAGGCACAGTGACCTAATAACAAAAAACATGGTTTACAATAAGGAGAATAATAAAAAAAACTTAGGCGGAAATAAATCTGTAGGTACTATTATTTGTGTAAGACTATGTATTTGTGTAACTATTATTAGTTAAGTGTTCGGTCGCTGTCCTCTTGTAGATTAAAATTTTTAGTCTATGAAAATATAAATAATTCAATTCATTATATTGCAGTTGGGCTACTCTTACTCTAGCGGTCTCTACCTACCTAAGATTTTTTTTATTTGTATTAAACCATGGGTGTTCCACCCATATACTGCCGGGCGCAGCTAGTAAGTATAGAATTTAATAATCGTAATCGCGAAACAGCGATCAGGATCAAATTAATTCCCGAATCCCACCCTATTTTATCGAATCTACACATTAATATCGGATATTGCATACATGATTTATAATATTACATCAGATTAGTTGGATAGGCTACGCTAACCTATTGAATATTATTATTATGAAGGTAATAATAATATCCATTACGGTAGCTTTTGCGATAGCTTTATATGAGGACTTTATGTTCTAATCCATATCGTTAAGTTAAAACAAGAAGTTCTAGTGCCTATACAAAATTTCCAGCCAATGGCAAGACTTGCGCGCACGATCGGTTAAGTGCTTAGAACTTTTTAATAAGTGAAGGATACAATAAAGTTTTTATCAATATATCAAGAGTCAACTATATTTTTTCTTTTTTTAGTCATGAGCAAAAATAAATGTTTTTTTTCTTTCTTATTACGGGTTAATATATTTTATTTTATTCATATTTACTAGTCACTAAATAATTACAAATAAGATAAGAAGATATTAATATCATTCGTATAATTCAAATCTTTATTTTCTCTACATTAAAAGCATCAGGAAAGGCGTCGCTTAAAATTAATTATCTACGATTTAAACAGTTTTTAATGAACGTGTGTTATCTTATATCAAAATATAACAGTTGCTATTCAAGCAAGTTACTCTGTTTCGTCCAACTCAAAAAGTAACCTCACTTCAATTTCGCTACACGTCTAAGAATCAATTCTTTACAGATGACTAATAGTTCCAAACAATTGAAGATCAGGGATTCCCTTTGCCTATTTTACAAAAGATTGGAACATCTGCTAAGAAGACGATACACACTAATATCTGTACCGTTAAATTTGCGCCCACTTTCCCGGACAAAGCTCTTTGTTGCGTGCATCTGTCGTGGCCGATTGTCTAGGGCTGTACAAAAAAAGCTAAGCTAAGCTACTAAAAAAAACACAGCTGCTAATCTACTTATGCTATTCAGTTTTAGCGAAAACGCGTGTCTTGTAACACATCTTAAGTAATACACATATATATTTCTACGTTTGTCAACGACTCCATTGGTTATGCGTAAAAAAAAACCTTTCGATTCCCATCGAATCTAGCATTTTTTTAAATCATATAGTAATTTCCTCAACATTTTATTTTAAGCGCCTATAAAATCTGTACAACGAATGAAATATAAACGTTTCAGTTTCAGTCTTAGGATGTAAAAACGATAATAGGTCGTCAGCAGACAGAAAACAGTTATTAAAGACAATAATTCATTTTATTAAAGTACAATAAAACTAGGTAGGTATGCAATCAAGAAATGTCTGGTTTTATTTTTATAAATAAAATTTTTAACCAATTACTCATCGCAATTTTAGTACACTCAACCTTCACTCAATTAAAGTACATAGTTGAAGTAGTGCAAGTAACATAACGTAAGTGTTCCAAATAAAACCAGTTTTAGCGTTGAAATTAATAAGTAGAAGGTAAAAACTTCACGCAAAAAATTGATCGAGCATCTTAATCATCAGATATATTCTAGCGGCGTGTGTTATTAAATATCAATAAAAAAATCCAGGACCACCAGCGTGTGTTTATAAAAAAATACCGGTTTCTAGGTTATCAACATCTAAAATTAACAAGTATGCTAAAATAACTTGATTGGCTTCAAGTTAGCACAGCTGACAGCCCTACCACAGATACCAGAAAATCGTATGACACCTGCTGGCCATCTATCCCTTTTACACCTACCCTCAAAACGGTGTGCATCTCGCTCGGCCTTGTCAAAGCCTCCTAGATTAAGTGTTAAAATATTTACGATGTGCAAGCAGGTATTAAAGATCTTTTTAAAGCCATTAAGTTTTTGTATTTAACTTCATTATAATGTACGACTTCGTTTGCGTAAATATTTGGT